GSSGRWTTTWYTTGTCMAGGTATTYATGCAAAAAGCAATATGCTTGGATACCGTTTAATTGTTAGTTTGACAAAGCCTAATTTTTCAATAAATCTTATTGAGATCTTTAATAATGGATGATATTAATTACTACGAATTGGTAGATCAGCTTGAAGTGTTTTTCAAGTGCAATAAAAATAGAGCGGAAGCTGAAAGAGAGTATAGAGAAAAATACTCAAATAGAGTTCACCCAAATCGTTGGAAATTTAGTCGAATTGAAAAACAACTGAGACGAACAGGCTCGCTTCTTAAAACTAAAAAAACCTGCGGTTCTTAGTGAAGAACAAGAAAATAGAAATCTGAATGTTCTGTTATCAGTCGAAGAAAATCCAAGACTTTCCATAAGAGAACTCGCTCATCATAACTAACAAATTAGATTTGTCAAACCAACAATTAAATTGTATCCAAGCATTTTTTTATTCACACCTTTCTTTTAAAATTAAAAATCAGGCTACGCGACCAATTTCCTTATAAAATTCTAAGATTTAAGATGTTTTCTATTTGCATTGTGTTACGCAAAATGTAATAAATAGTGGTTTACCGTATCTTTCATGTCAATTATAATTGTTTGGAGGAAAAAAAACATAGGTGTTCCATTTGAAAAACTAAATTTGGTAGAATTTCCGGCTACACCGGATGTGCTAAAAAATTTGATACATTTATTAAGAAAGCTATGAATGAATATTATTACTTAAATATTTACTTTTTGAAAAAAAGAAGTAAGTTTAGGTGTTATCAGCCGGGGCGACTTGGACCGAACACCCTGTATATACAGGTGATTCTTAAATAGACCGACAAAATTTTATCCTTGGTAGTATCAAATGAGAACATGCTGGAAAAATTATTAAAAAAATTCTTTGTTTAATCGCTCTTCAAATAAAATTTATTAAAATTATTTTTGAGGTAAAGCGTACGCCACGGATGTAAATAGTATTAGCACAGGTAGTGGAAACCACGGTATTAATTTGATGAAAATGTACTTCATTATTGCAACAATTCATAAACGCCGTAAGTGGCACGGATCAAGGGGGTTTTGCCCCTAAAAGATATAATCGTAAAAAGGGTACAGTTTGTCTCCATTTATTCTGTAACCTGAAGGTTACAACTGTTGGAATAATTTATAATTGTTTTGATTTAATTTAGTTTTATTCTCTAAAATTTTTGACAAGGCAGACTCGATATAAAAATAACAGAACTCTCTTCCTAAAAATTGCCGGTCTGGAAGGCGTAGGGTTCCAGAAAATGCTTGGGTACCAACATTTATTGACTTAACATCCGTGTCAACCTAAAAATCGCCGGTCTGAGAAGCTTAGGGTCTCAGAAAATGCTCGAGTACTGTTTCCATCGTTGAATACATCAGGTTCAACTAAAACAAATTAAGGCGTTAGTTGCGTAGTCCATTTTCGGTTTTGGTTAATTTATCTTAATTTATCGTATTAGTTTATTGTATCGTTCCATATCGTGTTACCTTGTATCTTTGTCAGTGGTTTCGAAGCAGATTTACCGTACCTTATCATTTCTATTTTATCGCGTCTGGGTTCGGAATTCATAAGATACAATGTTTGCGTTATTTGCGATATTTCAAAATAATTTACCTCACTGTTGGCCCCAGCTTTGGAGGGAGTTGGATGAAGGTTTGTTTCCTCTCAGTCTCTCGCGTTTATAAGTTGTGGTGTCTTGCTATGAGAGGGCTACAAGGAGTGGATAGTCCTTGAGCGTTTAGAACCGTCCCCCTGGAGGATGTGGGCAACTTCTCCTGGTTAATTTTAGCGCCTTCGTATCTTCTGTGTTCGTCTCAATGAGTTGTCGGGTGCCTCATCGCAGATTTTAAGCCCTTTCATCCTTTTTTGTGTGCATATGTCTTAAGAGCACAACTACAAAAACTACCGTTTACTAAAGTTCCGAATACTTTAATTTTACTTACCGTACTCTCGAGTGAACATTTCTTCCTTGATCTACCGCTATCGTTTCCTTTCGAAACTTATCACTCTTCTAATGTTCACTTGTTTATTTACTTTCACATAAGCTCTTACCTGTCACCTTTCCAAAAATTTCACGACCCCACTCTGCAGATACTTTGCAGTACTCGGTACGACCTTATTGGCTCATTTTTCCCGGGTTTAACAACTAAGAAAAACCGAGGTTATAAAAAGGGGAAGAGGAGAAAGTTCCACTCTTTTCCGATTGGTTTGCGGAGCAAACTTGTTATCGTGTACTGTTTTTAAAGAGCAACCTCATTACTTAAAGTTGCCGCAAGTACCGACGATTCTGCTGCAGAGTGGTCATTTAGCCAATTTTTGAGAGAGAAACTCTTCCGAACTTAAGTTTCCCGAAAAAGGCCCAAGTAATAACTTAGGTGAGATCTTCAAACCTTCCTATCTCTCTTTTCTCACCGCATAGCAATTTGGTAATTCTCAATCTCCTATTAGGCCTTCTTCCGTATACCGGAAAATCTGGAGAATCTCGACTCTTACGAACCGTTCCTGTTAGGCCCGGAAGTTTATTTCCCGTACTTCCCAACAACCCATTTTTGAGGAACTAGACCACTGTCGGGAGGTACCAAAATGACGTAATGGGTTTGGACGACGTAACATTAATTAGTGACGTCATCGACTCGCGCTTCCGGAAGCGCGAGCGACGCGAAAAAGGATTGAGACGAGAGACGATCGTGGTGAGTGGAAGAAGGTGGTACCCCCCGAGATCCGACCTGAACCTCGAGGCCTCGTGAAAAAAATGTAAGTACCCTTTTTTCTTTTGAATTAATAAATAAGTTTTGGTTAATCCTGGTGTTTACATTCAACCAACTTCTTACGTCCGGCGTAAATAAAATAAAAAAAATAATAAAAGGAATAAAAGTCGCGCCCCCGTTGTGAGAAAAGAAATGAAATAAATTATTAATTAATTAACAATGCGACATTTGGTGGAGGCGCCGGAGGTTGGTTTTAATTGGATGTTGACACCAGTTAAATTATAAGTAAATTTTTAACTTCGGTTCGGAAATCGGTACGCACTCGTAGGTACTCATTGAAATTGAGTAAAATACATGTCGGGTTCTAATAGACCGCTAACTAGAGGCTTATCAAATAAATTGCAAATTGAACTAAAGGAATAAGAATATCACAAGTTTAAACCTTTGCATCGAAGCAGCGAAATTCCTAGTGCCTCAAACCTTTTCACACCGCGGACGAGTTTAAGCAGAAGCCCACCATTGTCACCGATTCCGCAGAGTCCTTTTTCCTCTTTAGATACAAACCCTCTAGAAAATCTAAACGATAATACTACCCAAATCAAAATTCTTGAAACGGACGCAAACAATTCAGTTAAAACGAAGAAAATTTAGGGAATAAAACTACGGAAGATTTACAGGGAAAAATTAACAAATTAGATATTAAGGAAAAATTTAAAATGTCAAATATTACATTACGCTAGGTTTTAGAAGGGGAAACCAGGGCTGCGGTTCCTCAGTTTATTTCGCCACAAATTTTCGATCCTAGCAAATCCGACGCGAAAACCTTTGTAAAAATTATCAAAGAACCGCATTATCCAACGGTTGGAATAACAAACTAAAAATCGCGTATTTCGGAACTTTCCTTGACGGGGCCGCAAATAGATGGTATGAATTTTATATAAAACAACGCGCTAACGAAAAAAAAACCTGGGACAAAATCGCACATGACTTTATAGATGAATTCAATTTAGACGAAAATAAAGATTTGGAGGTAAAATTTGAAAGTCGACAGCAAGGAAATTCGGAACCGGTTAAACAGTATTATTACGACTTGAAACTTTTAGCATACGACTATGATGCCGATATGAGTTTTGAAAAATTTATAAAACATTTCGAAAAGGGGGTTAAATCGGAACTTGTTTGAAAAATATAGAATAATAAAACCGAGAAATATGTCGGAAAATGAACTGAAAGACATTATTAGTCGTTTAGCAGACATAGAAAACATAAAAAAAAGAGACGAGTCAACCAGTTTTGCAAACAACAATTCGCGCGGTGAAGCTAATAGTAACCAATACCGATATCTTTCAAGAAACCAAAATTACGCAGGTGGATATACAAACCACACTACTTATCAAAAATTTGGCTCAAATAATAATAACGGCGGGTTTAATAAATATTCTAACAACAGGAATTTCAAACAATTTCCCCGATTCAACAGTAATAATATTCAAAAAGTTCGATATGCGTCCCCACCGCATACAAAAAATGTCGAAACGCGCCAATGCTATTTTTGTGGAAGAAATAACCACATACAAAAAGATTGCTGGATCAAAAATCCCAACTTAAAACCACGAAATCACCCAAACGGTCAAGGACGTCAATAAATCCCCATGACGTCGTCAATACAACAGGGGTGTTTGACAAAAATAGTAATAGTAATTACAGTAAAATTCTAACAATTGTCACCCGCGTTAATAATAAAAAATGTATCACGATAATTGATTCAGGCTCAGAGGGATGTGTACTAAGGGACGGATTTTTATCACATTTTAAACCTAGCAATAAAGTGTCAAAATTTTTAGTTACAGCGGGAAAAGCGAAAATTCCCGTTTTAAGTTTTGCAAAATTTAAAATAAAATTAGGAAACCTCACAACAAATTGCCAAGCATCCGTGATACATGATTTACTGGCAGATTTAATCCTAGGCATGGACGTATTAACAAAATTGAAATCAGTTATCGATCTAAAAAATAGAATCATAACCTTTGAAAACCAAAATGCTCGATCGACTATCTCAATATTAAAATATAATAATCAGTTATTGCCCCAAAAATCTGAAACATTTTTTAATTACTCAATGCAAGCAAAAAAAGAGAACAAAACCCCACATCCTTTTACTGGTTCAATAAATAAAAAATCACGTAATAAGTATCAGATACACAAGAAGTTCTTATCTAGCACATACAGAAAAAATATAATACAGGAAATCACTGACACCCTGAATAAAATTATTTTATCAGCAAATTCAATAGATGCTGCAAATGAACATGAGATTGACGACCTTACCTATGAGAAATACAAATCAGCAAATTTTAATAAATTTAACAATATTGGAAAAGCATTAATTATAGTCAGCAACAACAATTATAGTCCACTGCAAACCACTAATTCAGCAGAATTTCGGGAAAGCGTAAAAGGTAATGAAGTTAAATCCGGCAAAATTTCGGAAATTCCAAAAGATACAGGGAAAATATTCAATTTAAATTGTAACTGTGATAATTACGAAACAATTTTTAAAATTTTGGTAGTTTTAAAAAATAAAGTAAAAGCAGAAAATATAAATAAAATAGCAATAGAAAAAATTGAATTCTTAAATAAAACTTTAAAATTTTCAGAAATAATTTCAATGTTAGAATTTATCTTTAATGATTTAGAAATTGATATAACAATTTTTGAAAATACGCAAAAACATACGGTGGACAAATCACGAATTAACGAAAATCAACTAACATCCGGAAAAATTAAGACCACTGTGGAAATTGAATTGAAACCATTGCACAATTATAACGTCAATGAGGCGAATGCTCTAAATAAAATCGAAGAAGTTGCAAGCATAAACTCCTGTAATTACAACGACCTCGCGAACTTAACACACAAGACAAACGCATCAAATACTATTACTTCCGGTCGCGAGCTACCAGGTTATTCAGAGAATAAGCGTGCGGACGAGCGTATTGAATTACCTTTTCATAAAAATAAAACTTTTTTAACTTTAACAATGACAAAAAGCAAAACTCAAAATCAAATTTTGAAAGAAAAAAATATTAAATTAGTATTGACCAACGATTACGTGATTGAACCCTTCGGGACCATTCTTCTAGAACTGCAACCAAATACCGCGCCAGTTATTAATCAAACCTATTCGTTTTTGGAAAAGGGGTCATTTTTACGAAAACACAAATTTCAATTATCGGTTCCAAACTCAGTAAGTATAATCAACCCTACTCACGTTACGGGCAAATTGATATCAATAAATAACATACGAGTAACACTTTTCAAAGGAACTTGCCTAGAGTTTTTAACCAAAGACGTCGATACTAATTTACTACTAACAACACATTTGAAAAATGGTAATTTTAAAGCAATCCCTACCAAACGTAGAGATTTCAAAATCAACTCCGAATTGAATGAAAGTGACACGAACAAAATTAAAAAATTATTATACGATTATAACGACATTTTTGCGGATGACATAAAAGAAATAGGTCGTACAAATCTAATGAAACATAAAATGGAGTTAACTGACGAAACCCCTTTTAAAAGTAAACCATATAGAGTAGGTAAAATCGAACGCGATCAAATTCGTAAACAAATTGATGAAATGTTAGAAATGGGAATTATTCGACCTTCACAGTCCGAGTTTTCGTCTCCAATAGTTTTAGTTCGCAAAAAAGGGGAAAAAGAAAAAACACGATTTTGCGTAGATTACCGAAAATTAAATTCAGTAACAAAAAAAAGCAATTACCCAGTAACAGACCTAGAAACGACTCTTTCATACTTTGGACAATCGAAATTTTACTCGTCAATCGATCTTCTATCAGGATTTCATCAAATGCCTTTAGAAGAAAACTCAAAATGTTATACAGCCTTTGTAACCCCTGGTTACGGGTTATACGAGTACAACTGTTTACCTTTCGGTCTTTGTAATGCTCCTTCATCGTTTCAAGCTCTAACTAATTTAATTTTTCATGATTTAACATGGTCCTGCTTAATTGTGTACCTGGATGATATTATAATATTCTCAGAGACGTTGGAAGAACATATAGGAAAACTTAAGCTAGTTTTTGAAAGACTAAGAGCTGCTAATCTAACGTTAAAAACTAGCAAATGCAAATTTGCAAACACAAAAATTAAAATCTTAGGGCACGTAATCGATAATAACCATATTACACCGGATCCCGAAAAAATCATTGCTGTAAAGGAATTTCCAATCCCTACAACCAAAAAGAAATTACAAAGCTTTTTAGGCCTTTGTTCATTTTATAGAAAATTTATTCAAAACTTTTCAAAAATTGCGCGACCTTTACATAAAATGTGCTCGGAGAAAATAAAATACTCTTGGGGAGATAAACAACAACAAGCTTTTGAGATCTTAAAATCAAAATTAACAAACACGCCCGTACTAGCGCATTTTAACCCCAACAAAGGATGTGAATTACGAACAGACGCAAGTAAAGAAGGACTGGGAGTAATTTTATTGCAAGAATCGGAAGGCGCTATGCATCCGATCGCATACGCGA